TTGGATTGGGCAGAAGTTGTTGGCCTTGGCTCACTTGCGCTGCCAGGTCCGGCCTGGTCTTTTTGGCTAGCCATAGTCCTGCGCCAAGCACGGATTTCAGCGAAGTGCCTTCTTCTGCATATACTGTGACGGTGGTTCTCAATTTTGGCTTGGACATGTTGTCCGCAAATTGTTCCTGGCTCACCACAATGGCTCCTGACTGTCCTGTGTCAATGTTGACCCACAAAAGGTTCCTTGTCCAGTCATCCACTTGCGGAATGGGAATTGTTGTTTGAGTTGTGCGATTGATTTTTCAAATCGACCACCTCGTCCTCCAAGAACCACATCATCGACATGCACCCCCATGACGCCTCCTAGCACAGTCTCCCCTGACTTATGCCTCGAGTCCCATAGCGTGTACAAACATGGATCTAACCTTGAAGGCTGCCATCCCAAAGCTCGAACTGTTTCATCGAAAGTACTGAGCCACTTTTGTGGCTGTCATTGAACCCGTATAGTGGGCGAACCACCTCGAACAGTTGTGCAGGGTCGTGATCTGGCAACTGAAAGTTCTTCGGTCCTGACATCCAGAGCCTTTGTTCTCTTTTGAGCTCCTTGGTTTCTAGGAACGCTCCCGTCACATCGCCCAACTGTAAAGTGAACGGAAGTGTGAACGGATTACTAGCGATTGCTTGTAGAACAGTGTACCTGCCGTTTGATGATTGTGTCTTCCCATTGCGAACCATGCAGGTTGAGAAGGTCTGGGTCCTTGTCTCCTCTGGTTGCCCTCCGGGCCGAGCAGAACGTGCACATCCCCGATGGCTGATTCCTCACTACAAAGAACGAAGTTCACATCCTCCTCCGGTCCTTGCTCGTGTAATGACACATTCTGCGAGGCCGAGTCCAGTGCACATCCTGTCACCAAAATGGCTGTTCCAAACGATGTTAAACTAGATCCGCTCGACACGGGTACTGGCGGCATGCTCTGTGGTGTTGTTGGAACTGGGGGAAGACTCTCCGGTGTGGTCGGAATTGGCGGGTCAGCTCCTGGTGGAGTTGGGAGTGATTGTGGATACCGCAAGCCACCGACACTACCGCCGAGTTCCGGTCTGCTTCTTTTTGGCTCCGGTTCATCGCCTCGAGGTCGGCAATGTCCATCAAGTCTGTCTGCGCGTGCAGAGGACTCTCTCCACGCCTCCCGCTCCGTGGCACTCAAGGACTCCAACTGATCGCTCAGCGATGAGTTGATTGTCATGGGCTGACTGCCCTGGCGCTGTTCCTGTGCCTCTGGATCGGGCTGCGCGCCCTCTGGTCGGGGTTCCCAATGTTTCCGGAACAAGGTCACCTGTGGGGGAAAGTCTTCCTTGGTAATGTCAAAAAGGTTCTTTTGGAACTGCGCTGCCGCTGCCCTAATGTCGCGGACCAAAAACCGATCAGCCTCTCGTTCGCAACCTCAACTGTTCTGGAGAGCACGTGATAAATGATCCTGGCATACTCACCCATACGTTCGCTCCGCCTTCACCGTCACCTGCAACTATACCTGGTCCTCTCCAGCGGGCCATACTCTTCTTGATCCCGCAACCCCGTCGCCAAACTGCCACCTCATCACCTGGCCTGAACTCTCTCTCTCTCTCTTTGGTCTTGGTCTGGTGTTGAGAGCTATCTGGGCTGCTCGGTGATCCAAGGATTGGAGAACTGCTTCGCGAGCCTTCTGCCGTGCCCTAAACGAGAAAGCTGAATCATCACCTCGAACCTCTAAGTCTCGTCCAAAAATCAACTGGTTTGGGCTGTATCCTCCCCGTGTCATGAGAGCATTCTTTGCTTCAATGGTCACGTCAACACACTCCAACCAACTAGGGTAATCTTCAGGCTGCATTTGATCAATGACCTTTGTCAACATGTTGGAGAAGTGTCTACCCTGAACCTCCACGTCTCCCATTTGCTCGTGGGCCCCAGGAACATCTAATGGTGTGGTGCCATCCCGCTCCAGTGCCTCCAAAACTGGTTGTCCCACTTTGCACCTGCCAGCGTCAAATTTTATGTACCTTGGGCGCCCAAATGCTCTGGTCCAATGTCGATAAAGTCTGACAAGAAGGTCCGAGTTCTGGGTCTCTCTGAAAGGTACATCTGTTGAAAACCCGTGGCCCGACACACATGTCTCGTTTCCATGTCGGTAACCATTTCACATCCAAACCAATGTACCTCAGGGGAGCTAGTCCTTGGGCACGGCACTCTCACGAACTGCCTTCGACGGCCGACGTGACTCACATAAATCACATTGGAAGCTACGAACTAGCTCCAGTACCTCTGGCCGCGCGCCATGGTGTTTAAGGATACGCACCATGTCTTCCACTGGCGCGTGCCCCAAGTTGACATGCATCTTCTCACGGCATTCTTGACCCTGTCTCGACTTACTGGAGCAATCTGTACATCTGCTTGGCTAATGGGGCAACATAACGACTCATACTGTTGTTGACATGCAAAACCCCCCCCAAGATGATGTTCAGCGCCCTCCTCGGATACATCTGAGCTTGAACCGATCTCAACTGCCCTCCGGAGCGGCCTTCCACCACTTGGTGTTCATGGTCCTGCGAGCGTTCCAGCTTGTCCAGCATGGTCGCAATGCCCTCGGAGTTCGTCAGGAAGCCCCATGACTTCTTGAACGGTTTCTTGGTCTCCTTGTCGAGAAGGCCAACCGAGCATGCTGGGACAGTGATCCTCAAGCATTCTTCAAAGTCCATCAGGCGCCCCATCGCCGGCAGTTTCCATGCCGCGCGTGTCGCAGAGGACTCTCAAAGATGAAGTATTTGCCTTCCCTCATCCTGTCTCGGGCGATCCTGGTGCGCCATGCCACCACTGCTCTGGCCTCGATCACATCTCTCTCACGTTGCTCCGGGTTGGATCTCTTCGGCGTCGAGTTCTGCAGCCCCGAAAGGGGCCCACCAGCTCTCACGCTCAGCCAGGAGAAGCTCCGTCACGTCACCCTGCAGCTTCTTCATAGACTTCTGGGGGTTCTGGTTCCCATTGTTGGTTCTGTATCTCGGTCTCCGGAATCGTGCCCATCTCATTCTCCGGGATCGTGCCCATCATGATGTCCTCATTATTGATGCCACCGTCCTCATCGGTTTCCTTGCCCAGCTGCGTGGTGAGTACTTCCACTTCCGCATCTTTGACCTTGGGCTGCCCCTTGAAGTCCAAGAGATTGATCTGGTAGCTGCCATCTCGCTGTAGTGCCTTAGTGAAGGTCACTTCTCCTCTCTGCCCAGACATTTCATGAACCGCTTCGAGATCAACAGCGGGACCTCTCCAGGCACAGCCAGGAAGACGGGATCTGGACAGTTCGATGAGACACATCCACGGCACTGTTCCCATACCTGAACTTGTGCGGCTGATGCAGCATCTCCTTCATCTCATAGCCACACTCATTCAAGACCTTTTGTCGCTCCAAGGTCTTCTCTCGGACTAGCCCTCGACCACATCCGGTGTCCACCACACCGTGCCCAGCCGCATGGACTAAAGCGACCAATGTCTCACTCGTCAAGTCTCCAAAACGAGCATGTCGGACGGGACTTCTTCAAAAACTAACACTTCAATTCTGCAAAACGAGCGTTTCGTACGAGACTTCCTCCAAAAGCCACGCGTCAAGTTCTCCAAAACAAGCGTTTTGCATGAGACTTCCTCCAAAAGCCAGACGTCAAGTCTACAAAACGAGCATTTCGTACGAGACTTCTTCCAAAATTCACTCGTCAAGTCTCGAAAACGAGCATTTCGCACTAGACTTCCTCAAAAACTCGCACTTGAAGTCTGCAAAACGAGCGTTTCGTACGAGACTTCATCCAGAAGTCACATGTCAAAGTCTCTAAAGCATGCATTTCATACGAGACTTCCTGCAAAAGTCAAGCGGGAAGCCCCATCGGATCACACACACATCAAGCAGCCCTGCCAAGCAGTTTCGCGATTCCAGCCCCTCCAAACTCACACGCCATTCCCAATGTCACAGCGGCACTCACCTCCACCACAGCTCACAACCTCACGACTCCCTACGCCTGCCACCAAAATTTGCACGCCCACACCTCCAACGCGCACAAAGTACTGGGAAGAGGACTTCCCCTTTAGGTAGGGTGTTTGTAGGGTAGAGGGCTACCAGTGTGGTTCCATCCGCGCCTGCCACGCAATGTGACCTCCGCCACACCTCGCAACTTCACGATTCCCTGCGCCTGCCACGAAAATTGCACTTCCACACCTCAAACCCTGCACAAAGTACTGCGCCTGTTACGAAAAGTGACCAGATCAGATCTTGTATAGCTTCAGCAAAAATTTGCACCTAGCCACACGATTGGAATGATTTTGACACATTCTGAGTAGTAATTACACTCCCATCGACCAAAATCGCCACTTGAGCTGAGACTTGTCACGAAAACACAGCTTCGAAGCAACAGCCTGAAATGCAAATCCCAATGTCACAGCCACATCCAACACGCCAGAAACACCACCCTCCAAACGCCAATCCCAATGTGACTGCGCAGAAAACTGCCGATCTCACACACGTCATGCTTCCATCCAAAACCCTCATAGCGCTCCACCTGCGAACGGTTGCGGACGGTTGCGAACGCTGATACAACGCGTCGCGAACAAGGCTCTACCCCCTGACCCCCGGAGTTAAACGAGAACCCTTCGCTACGCATTCGGGAAAAAAGCAAGTTTACGAGAAAAGTCGAGGAAATTCATGCTTTAAAAGTTGAAGGAAGCATCAAGTTTTGCTTGTCTGTTCCTTCTTGCGAAAACAGTATCTGAAGATCTCTACAACTGCTGCAAGTGTTTAAACCAACCAATCGCGCTACAAAGGGAGGTAGTGATCACCACTAAGCAGTCCGAAGCAATAATTGCTGGATTCATTGGACTTGCGCACTTGGTTCTTGCCTGACACTTTGTTTACCTTCATCAAGTCGCACCCATGAAGCAATTGGCACAAACTCTGAGCAAAAAATGGACATCAAACTGCAACTCGAAAGCACACTTTTTCCACATCCCAGGCCAGTGCCTCGATGCCCAGCCTCAATGCACCTCAGAAATTCATGCTGAGCCTTCCTCAAAGCGCATAGTTTCACCCGGTTTCACATCAACTGTGTTTTTGTGTTCTTATTCACTTCTCAGGTTTTGATGGTTTGCATGCTCAAGCTTTTCCTGAGGCCTCTGCAGCCTCTGTGGAGGAATAGAGATCGGCCATACTGCCAGCCGGTCTTGCCTCCAAACTCTTAGCATCTTCGTGGAGTCACAAAGCACATCTTCTTGAAGGTCGACACCATGTACTTGCCCCTGTCCTGTTGAAAGAACTGAGCGCTTGAGCCGCTTGAGTACCACTTTAGGATACTTTAGGTACCACATGGTACCAGTCTGTTGTGTCTTTGGTTGTATGTTGTGTTTGAAGAAGGAGGGGGTGATGCTCAATGTTCGACAAGTGTTTCTACAAATGCATAATATATATATATATATTAATTATAGTTATAAGTGTATATAAAATATACTATATACATGTGCAATGTCTTTCTTTGGATCAGTGGACCTTTCTTTCTTTTTCATAGATTCTTTCAGCAAAAAAATGCTAGACTCCTTGTCACTTCCCCCATTCTGATCAGTTCCGCTTGCTTTACACCCTTTTTTACACAGCACTCCAGGCTCAAAGACCAAAAGGGTCAAATATAAAGGAGACATGTGTGCATGGGCATACTGCAGTGTGTTGTTGAAATGAAAAAGCAGTTGTAAAAAAGTATAGTTAGTTATAGATATGCGGGGAGACGTTCACACCTAGTAACTTTGGAAAACAGAAACAGTGTGCAGAAGTATTTGCAAAACTAGTTCATGACTCTGCGATTTCCACCCCCTGCTCAAAGACATGCCCAGCCTGGGTGCAGCTTCAGCTTGCCAGTCTCCTTATGCATCAGCTGTCACAAAAACGCACAAAAGCTACGGAAAATCTGAAAGAGTTCCAATTCAATCTCAAGTCGGATGAAGAACGCACGCTGACAAAGCAGCCGCATCCTTAAAGCCTCCATGGGCACCTATTTGAGGACAAGTCCACCTCGAGAACCAAAAGCAGTGTACGAGGCTTGTTTCAACTGAGATCAGAGTATGGATGGCAAACCCACAAAGCTTTGGCATATTTTCTGCATTTTGTGGGTCCAAATGCACTTCAGGGCAAAGGTCAGGCCAAAGCATTCGACCTTACCTCTACTGCAGCGAGAGCGCATGGTCAAACGCATTGGATGAAGAGGGACAGCCCAACCTATGGGGTAAACACGTTTGTTTGTTGAATAAGAGGTTTTTGAACAAGGGTTTGCGAAGGTTTTCGCCTCCCACAGTCTAAGCACTGACGTCAAAAGACGGCATCTGAGCTAGGTTATATCATCCGCAATTGGACATGTACGGCGCAAGCATTGTGCACACTGTACTATCCTGAGAATAGCTTGCTGGCCAAGGCCTGTGCCTGATGGCAAGGTATGACAGAATCCGGATGGAGTGCTACACCCCTAGCCATAAGCAGGGCTCCAATTTGTAGCCAAGGCTGTTGGCTTGACCGGAGTGGCAAGAGTGAATTGAACAAAAGCCGAGACAAGTTAACAAGATAAAGGATTCAAGTTGAAGACATCCTCAAGGACCAAAAGCACTGCAAGCAAGGCTTGTTTCAACTAGACTCGGAATATTGATAGCACCCACACAAATCCGAAGCATGTCTACGCAGGATGCAAAAGTGAGGGACCGCAGAAACTTCGATGCGGGCGCGAAGCCGCTATAGAGTCGCCAGCGGCAAGAAACGCTTGACTTCTTTGGAGGTCATGCTTTGGGCATTGTGAGTGAAGAAAGCAATTTGGCACCAAGGGGTTGTGCTTGCTAATTGCGGCTGGAATACAAACATATATCGATTCAGTGACTATTGATGGACAAGATGGGAAAACAAAAGCACAGAGTTTGCCGGCCTGGATTCTTTGAACAGTTTGGGGGCACGTGGGAACTGCGCAAGCGGTATTAGCAGGGTTGAGCTTGAGCATGATCATACCTGGTCTCGCAAAGCTCCTTCCAGTCACAGCTGGGCAATCAAGCCAGGTTCTGATCATCCAATGTTGCAAGTACACAGCAAATGGCTGGTTTCCTGGGGATGGATGCTGGTCGCGGGGGGTTCATGTCAGCTGAACAAGTTGCACACAGCCACATCCACAGACAGGCTGCAATCGGCATTCCGTGTAAACCAGACTTGGAAACACTTGGAATACACGGGACGTTTTCTCAAGCAGCCTGCCTCTCAACAAGGTGAAGCAGCGACATGAATCTGCATAGGACTCTCCAATACCAAGAGCTGAGATTTCAAGTGTCTTGCCAACGCTCTTGAAATGGGAGACACATGAAGCTTAAAGTATGCCTTGAGTTCACCAAGCCAGTGATTCAGGCTGAAATTGAAGTTGGTACGATGAAATACCTGTCTGCTTTCTGGCTGGGCAATGTCACGCGAAACTTAGTTGAGTCATGGGACGTCAAACAACATAAGATCTAACCCAAATGAGCTGCACAAGCCTAAATGTTCTGATGTTGGAGTGGAACTGGCCAAGATGTCGCTTTCATGCTTGCGCCAAATACAGACATTGGGGCAAAAGAATGAGTCCGACAATCCAAGGGTCAAGAGGATACGCAAAAGTCCGATCTCAGGTGGCCTGCCGCTGCTAATCTTGTCATCGCAACCTCCTTTTTCCAATTGATCCTTTGGAATGGTGAACCTTGCAGGGGCAAAGCACATTCAACAAAAGACTGCTGCATTTGCATGCAGTAGACCACACTGACTCTGTCTGGAAGAATTGAGGTGCAGCGACGATGCCTGAACAATTAAGCCAAATGGTGGTCGTCCAATGTGGCAATTGCATGGCAAACGGTTGTTTTCCAGTTGGCTTTCTGAAGCAAGGACCTCATGTTTACTGTATAGTGAATTCTCTGAAAGGAAGCACTATGCAAAAGTGAGGGACCGCAGAAACTTCGATGCGGGCGCGAAGCCGCTATAGAGTCGCCAGCGGCAAGAAACGCTTGACTTCTTTGGAGGTCATGCTTTGGGCATTGTGAGTGAAGAAAGCAAAGTGGCACCAAGGGGTTGTGCTTGCTAATTGCGGCTGGAATACAAAAATATATCGATTCAGTGACTATTGATGGACAAGATGGGAAAACAAAAGCACAGAGTTTGCCGGCCTGGATTCTTTGAACAGTTTGGGGGCACGTGGGAACTGCGCAAGCGGTATTAGCAGGGTTGAGCTTGAGCATGATCATACCTGGTCTCGCAAAGCTCCTTCCAGTCACAGCTGGGCAATCAAGCCAGGTTCTGATCATCCAATGTTGCAAGTACACAGCAAATGGCTGGTTTCCTGGGGATGGATGCTGGTCGCGGGGGGGTTCATGTCAGCTGAACAAGTTGCACACAGCCACATCCACAGACAGGCTGCAATCGGGATTCCGTGTAAACCAGACTTGGAAACACTTGGAATACACGGGACGTTTTCTCAAGCAGCCTGCCTCTCAACAAGGTGAAGCAGCGACATGAATCTGCATAGGACTCTCCAATACCAAGAGCTGAGATTTCAAGTGTCTTGCCAACGCTCTTGAAATGGGAGACACATGAAGCTTAAAGCAAGCCTTGAGTTCACCAAGCCAGTGATTCAGGCTGAAATTGAAGTTGGTACGATGAAATCCCTGTCTGCTTTCTGGCTGGGCAATGTCTCGCGAAACCTAGTTGAGTCATGGGACGTCAAACAACATAAGATCACACCCAATGAGCTGCACAAGCCTAAATGTTCTGATGTTGGAGTGGAACTGGCCAAGATGTCGCTTTCATGCTTGCGCCAAATACAGACATTGGGGCAAAAGAATGAGTCCGACAATCCAAGGGTCAAGAGGATACGCAAAAGTCCGATCTCAGGTGGCCTGCCGCTGCTAATCTTGTCATCGAACCTCCTTTTTCCAATTGATCCTTTGGAATGGTGCACCTTGCAGGGCAGAGCACATTCAACAAAAGACTGCTGCATTTGCATGCAGTAGACCACACTGACTCTGTCTGGAAGAATTGAGGTGCAGCGACGATGCCTGAACAATTAAGCCAAATGATGGTCGTCCAATGTGGCAATTGCATGGCAAACGGTTGTTTTCCAGTTGGCTTTCTGAAGCAAGGACCTCATGTAGTTGGCACAGGGCCGAGAACAGGCTGCAACCGCGGCTCTTTGTGCACAGCTGAGAAGTGCGGCAGGGCGAAAGAAATCAGCAACAACATACCTTCTGAGACAAGAGCTTGAGACATCAAGTCAGCTTCCCTCGGCCTTTGAGTAGGGAAACCATAAAAATAACAGGCAGAATTAGAGTCTTGAATTTGGCATTCGCCAGTTCAGTCAAATCTACATAGGCGCACAGGCACAGTGAGAAAGTACTTGGCTTGAGACGTTTCTATTCCAGCTCCAATCCAGCTGCTTGTCTGCCGACCACCAAACATTTGGACAACAGCCATGCACTAAATGCTCCGTGTTCACACAAAGGATTTTCGTGATGTTTTCAGTTGGATGAACGTGCAAGCATATGCAGCTGCATGGGATGCTCCAAAACCAACACCTGAGACTTCAATGTTCTGGCATAAAACAAAAGGCCGGCAGGCCTAAACCTTACTGCAGCTAGAGCCTGCCTTGAGTTAGCCAAGTCAATAAGCCTTAGGCGTTGGCCAGGGAAGTCTGCCCGGCATGTGCAAAGTAGATAGACTCGGATTCCCCAAGTCAAATTGCTACATGGAAGGCCGAGGCCCAAAGGAACTAAGCTTCTGTGACCAAGTGCACAAACGTTAAAGAACGGGAGCAGAATCCACTTGTGTTTCGCTGGATGAGGCAGCGAATGTGAAGAGCTTATCAAGAGTGCAGCTGAACGGCTTTGGAATTTTCCTCAGGGCATCATGACCAAAAAAGAAGCTTCCGATTCCTCTTCTCGGATGTATTTTGACATGGACGCATAAGCGCAATAGAATCAGAATCGCGGAGTGAAAAGCAGTGCCGCGCCATGATGGCCAAGCGGAACTGGCCGAGAAGCTGGGCAACCGTTTGTTAAACCACCGCCTGTTTGCAGTGGCAGCGCAGCTGTTGAACGGTCTCAAGGTGTAGTGTTGGCATTGGGTTGGATTGCAAACAGTGCATATATTGCTCGCCTCTTTAGACAAAAGCAAACACAACAAATGAGGAACCCAGTAGTGACTGGCATTTGCGCTCAAAATCCAGAAGTCTAGATCAACTCAAAGCAAAATGGCATGCAACAAAGTCTTACGATAATTTATCTATGAAAGGCGCCTTCTGTAATAGTTGCGTCTTCCGTGGAGCGACACAGGAGGTTTGTCTTGGTGAGACCTGTACCACTTGCAGGTTGGACTTCATTTGCCTGGCTGCAGAGATGAGACAAAGGTTAAAGGTGATCAAATTCCCTGAAAGCAAACCCAAGCACATGTTCAGCTGAGGAGATTTGCAACAACAACCTCTGGAATCTTGCGGCTTCATATGAGACATGAGAGGCAATGAAAGGAAACAAACATAAACAGAAAATGCTGCTATGAAACCCTGAGTAAGCTTGGGCTATCCTTCTCAAGCCGTACTAGTAACAGCACTTTTGCCTTGCTACTCCATCGCCCAGTCCTTATCCTGTGGCAATAATCTTTTCTGTGTGTTGTCCTCAGCCAAAAAGAAAATCAGCGGTTGTCCTCAGCCAACCTGAAGCTTCGTGCTATTTTTTGGTTCCACAGCAGTATCGGCAAAGGTCTCCTGGTACCGAGTCACTCAGCATTTGACAACTCGTGGCAACACACAGGACCCAAAGAATCCTTCATGGCCACCTCCCATCTGACCAAGAGAATGAAGATGCCCACATGATTCAAATTTTGTGTGGTTCGATAGAAGGAACTGTGCGTTGTCCCAACTTTCAGCCCATGACCAGACTTCAAACCGGCTGCTTGCAGAGGCAGAGTAGCAAAGAAGTCTTGAAGCTTTGGTATGAATCTTCATAGGGGGTTCTAAATTTCAGGGTCATACTGTGGCAATTATTGTGGCAAACAGAGCCAAAAGGACTTGCTGCAGCTCCCTGGTCTATATCAAGTGTGTAATAGAGACACAAGGAACCCAGAAGCTCAGTGAACCATTCTTCTCCTACAGCAACAGCTTTGAAAAGATGCTGGGCTGGCCTTAAGATTGTTTTGAGAGCTGGACTGCAGGTCAACATCCGAATACACCGTTGATCTTGGGGATGTTCAACTGCTCACTATTGGGGTTCTCGTTTTGACCCCAGTTGTGAGGCTCTTGTGTAGAGAGACAAGTAAGCTACAACGGGTTGGAACAGGCGTGGCTGTGCGGTGAAGCAATGTGGAGGTGCATTTCCTCGGCATTTGCTTTTCAACATCGGCACATCGGCAGGTGAGCTTGGGTTAGCTTCCACAAGCCTTCCAGCATCTCGGTATGCTTTGTAGTACGTTTGCCTCGCTACTCCGTGAACCTGCAACGGTCTCACCCAGTCTTTATCCTGTGGTGGTAATCTTGAGGATATTCTTGCTTTTCTGTGTTGTCGAAGTCAAGAGGAACATCAGCGGTTGTCCTCGGCCAACCTGAAGCTTCGTGCTATCTTTTGGTTCCAAATATCGGCAGAGGGCTCCTGGTACCGAGTAAATCAGAGTAACTTTGTTGCTGCAGCATTTGAAAAACTCGCGGCAAGGATCCAAAGGCCAAGCTGGGGACAACAATTGCTAGTTTCTGTGATCGAGTTTACTGACGTCAAAGAACCAGAGCAGAATCCTCTTGTACTTTGCTAGATGAGGCAGCGAATGTGCAGCGCTTTTCAAGAGTGGAGCTGACAAGCTTCGGAATTGTCCTCCGGGCATCATGGGCCATACCATCGTTTACTCTAGCAACATGACTCTTGGATCGACAATGGAATCACAATCGCAAAGCAAAGGATTGCTTCTTTCCACATGACCAACGGAATGCAGGTGCAAAAATCACGCTCATTAAGCTAGTCCAAGGTTGGAAGGAAACTTGCAACTGACGCTATGTGAATTTGGAAAACGATATGTCCTTTTCCCAGCACAGGCGTTGTTTGCCGCCGTGAGGGTAACCAACTTCATTATGCGGAGCTTTGACATTTTATTCGTCGATTTCAGCAATCGTTTGCAACGATTTTTCGACCCAATAAATACAAGAGCCGGGCCTATCGATTCGAAGGCCGGTACAACATCCTTGCTGAGCAAGACCAGAACCAGCCCTCTCGAGACATGCTGTCGATACATATTCTGAGTGTGGTCCAAAGCCAACAAATGAGCCCGAGCCACAAGAGCATTCGGAACGGCTTTTGCGAGTGTGAACGGCTGGGCGAACGATGAGTTTCTTGCAATTACTTAATCACTTCCAGTCTGAACTTGAGATCTTTCACATCACACGATGTCACCGGCTGTCACTAGCTCCGTCTGTCACTACCGGGCAGAGGTCATGGAGATTCGCGAAAGGTGGCACTTTAGGCCCAGGATGCGTGGGTTGAATGAATTGAGTGTCCTTTTCTCTTAAAGACTTAAGGCGGCCTCAAAGGCACGAAAAAGGTCGGCTGCCAAATGCACTCTCTCCACGCTGGGGAGACATGATACGATCCCTGCTCTTGCAATTAGACATACAAATAGTGGTGCATGCAAGCTCTTGCATGCGTTGGAATGACTGGCTTCGTTTGTCTGGCACCTGTTGCTGCGCAACATCTTGCAACAACAACCTAGATCTTCCACTTCTACTCCATGTTTCACTGGATTCAAACTTGCGCTGAGAAGTGGCTTGAAAACTCACTATTGCGGAGCGATGTTTGCAATTGCGAAGCAATGCAAACATCAGATTGAGATGTCTATTATATTTCTTTTGAGTGACCTAGAATCTTTCACACAACCACAAGCAAACGCAAGTTGGATTCATCCAATCCAAACAAATGAACGACCACTCCCCTCGTGCAGCTCATGCATGCCCAAGGTCCGTGCCGAAGCGGATGAAGCATGAAACACCAGGCTTTTCAGATGACGTCGTCCTGCTTGTTTGATCTTGTTTGCCTTGGTTTTTGTCTTCAATCAAACTAAACAGCTGCTTGGACGAGGAAAGACTAGGACACCATCGTTTTGAGTAAAGCAGTTTTTTTTGCTTCCATGCTGACACATGGTCTTATTTTGATGTCGAACTCTAACGCCCACCTAATGTTTGGTTGTGGCTCATAGGGTTTTGTCTCTAGATTCTTAACAAAGAAGGTCCTGATGATTGGCAACCCTAAAACTTTGTCGCGTCCTGACTTGAACTCTGCTAGGCCTGGGAAGTGTGTCTGGACACCAGGTTCCAGCAGGTTCCAGACATCAATGGATGAAACTTGAATCACAGCAAAGAATCACTACACTTCTTTTCCCAGCTGATACTTGGGAAAACACATATCTCATGCTTGTCGTCGAAGCAGTGTTTACAGTGCGTGTTAAGTTTCAATCCTCCTAAGCCGTAACCCTCCAAACCGGGTAGTAGGGATACAACACTTGACTGGTGCTGATGGAATCAGGGAAAACGAATCAGAACAAACAAAGCTGAAGGACAAAACAGGCAAACGGCTTGTTAAGCTGTGTCCCAAATGGTGGGTTTTCAACATGGCTATTTTGACAAGTGCTGATTCTTACTCTATTGTGTTAAACTGGATTGTGGCCGCCCTGCAGCAAGCTATCGATGAACCAATGGCAAAAGCTTGCGCAGTTGCTTTTAGGCCGAGGGGTTCATGCTTTCTCGGCTTCAGAAAGATCCAGCTGCCCTGCTGCATTTGGCTTGATGGCCTGATGGAGTTCAGCACAAACACGAGCACTAATGTCACTAGGTTGGAGCTACAAAGGTCGAATATGTTGGAATATCGTGTTGGCCCAAGATCTGTCAGAGATGCGTTGGCTGAAGATGTGGATGTGCCAATCTATGCAGGCAAAGGAACAAGGACTCCGCAAGTCCGCAACCTATCTTGAAAGCCCTGGTGGCAGTCCCATTGGCTTTGACACCTCGGTTCGGTTGCTCTTCAAACATCAATGGAAGCTATATTTTGCCTAAGTCCTGTGGACGATCGATCTCAGGAAGTCACACTCCACTGCTTCCAGCTTCTGACTTGCAGTGTAAAAAGGTGGTGGTTTTGAAATCATCTCTCAAGTCTCTCAAGTCCCAAACATGCTTTCACCTCTCATGCAGCTCATCATGATAGAGCTACACCTCCTCAAAGGCGACCAGAGATGTCAAGAAATTCTGGGGAAGCCTTCTGGGAGCGCAGCTTGAGCGTGGATAGGGAAACCGAAAGCATGTGAGACTTGCGAGCCCTGGAGCAAGTTTTGTTTGATCAAAACCTTCCGATGCAGTTTCCACAAAAGCTTCTTGTTACTACTAGTAAGGCACTTGTTACTAGTAGCGATGCACTTGTTTCTACTAGCTTCTTGTTACTAATCATTTTGTCAGCAGTTTCCACAAAAGCAGGTTGAAGGGGCCTCCGCAGCATTCAATCGGTATGAAACTGACATTACCGTCCTAAGGCCACTGACATCACATTCAGGGAAGGCCGTCACTGGCAAACGATCGGGGAAATGTGCCAAAAGTCACCCTATGCAAAAACCAAGGTGGCCCAGTGGGTGAGATGCCTGAGAACAAATCCGCATGGGTTGATAGGGTGTTAAGTAATAAGGCCCGCAGCCCTCGGTACCACTGGACCCACTTGGTGCCTCTGGTCCTTCATGCATCACCTATGAAAGACTCAAGAACCCAATGGCCGAGTGGGGACGAGAGCCGAGAGCTCCCGACCATATGAACCGAGGCAAAGAATGTGCAAAAGCCCAAGGACACAGACTTGGTTCACTCTGGCTTTCTCATTTCATCTTCTTTGAGGTGTGTCGAACACCTATTGGAATTGGCTTTGTAATCCTAGCATCCTTTCGCCGCAGGCTATCGCGGTCCTTTCGCGACCACAGTCTTGCCTTTCGGGGGCAAACACTATTTGCTCAGCCCTTTCACGGGACCTTTGACAAAAGAAGTATTCGACTGAGGACACATGTACAATAAACATGTCCTTTCGCATATTCCTTTCGCAGCCATGTGTTTATGATGCCTTTCGCAATAGCTTTCTCGAAGCTTTCGCGACTTGAGTTTTTGCCTTTCTCGGGGGTTATGTATGGTTATGTCAGGACAACTGGGGGTTGTCCAACAAAGCTCTTCTTTTCTGGCTTGTATCGCCGGCCTTTCGCGGCCCCTTCGCGTTTGCAGAAAAACACAGGGTTTCCTTTTGTATTTTACAGGATCAGCTCTAATAGTACTAACTACCTAGCTAACCCTGCTAGTCCGGTAAGCGCTACCTTTTGCTCTACCTTGAGAGTCAACGCTACGGGGTCCATGGGGATGAGGTGAATTTCAACACCTTTCGTGCATTGTGATGAGGTTATTCCATTGCACTGAGTTCACAAATGTTCACAGCGTTTGGGACATCTAAATACTTTTGGTGCGCTGAGAAGCAGGCTGCCCTTTGTCAATCCATACTTGAAGCAAATGCTTCAAGGCCATGGATGGGCAGATGCCCTTCCAGGCAATACGCCCTTTCGCGGGCCTATCGCCGGCCTTTCGCGGCACTTTCGCGAAAATCCGTGTTTCTGCTCTGGAAAAGGATGCGTCATATTTATATATAGGTTATAAGTGGCACATTATATGTCCAGGTTGGCACATGTCTTTCGCCGTCCTATCGCCGGCCTTTCGCGGACTGCAGTTTCCCTTTCGCAAAATGTTTGTTTTGACATGTCATCTAAATTCCTTGACAGGCAATAACGGACGGCCCTCAACTGCATGACACAGACTCTTCATGGATGTTATTGACGTGGCTCATTTCCCCATGCTCATTAGTCAACACACCCACCTGACCCACCTCTCTTTGGTACGAGGCTGGGTGTTGCCAGAAATGGAGCAGAAAGGGTAAACCACAAACGGGACAAAAGTTGAAGATCTGCTCTCCTGCGCATTAAGTAAGTTTTGGACCCACGAGGCAAAGCACCTCTCCAGCATCTATTTTTCCCATGTCCTTTGGTGAAGCTTATATTGGTGAGGGATTGTTGTCGGCGTCCTTCAAATTCAACTTGTGTCCTATTCTAGAGCATACAATTGTTGATTGACTGCGCGCAGATTTGTCTAAGCGCTCGAGCAAGCAAGTCAAGCGTCGGCATGATTCCTCGGTTTTGACGAAGGATATGTGGATGCGATGTGAGAAATATAGGGTGAAGAAAGAACGCCTTTCACGAGATTGACATCGAACATCAACCCTTAACTCAAGCCTGATTGGAGTCTGTAGTCCAAAGACAGGTATGTTCCAGCGTCCCAAGACTTGAGTTGCGATCTGTCAAGACTTGAGTTGTCGGGCAAAGCTTGCATGAACACAACACATACCCCGTGTTTGTATGGCTGCCACCATCTCAACAGGCTTGACAGGGTTTGCAGCGACATCCAACTTGAGAGAGGAGGGGGTGAACGAAAGGTAGCAGGCAATCACAAGTAACCCTGGTAGAAGTCCATGACGGCGTGAACCGGCGCAGGGGGGATTTGATCCACGGGGGGCGGGGGCCCCCCCCCTCCCCCGACGAACAGAATCATCTCTTACAGGACCAAACTCAATGCACAATCCCAACTCCTGATTGTAATACATTTTTGCTAAAGCAAGGAGAACTCAGGTAGCTCAAGCTACCTTTCGTGACTTTCCTGTCTGTGAATTGGACGGCGCAACCGCTTTGCTGTTTTGCTGAGAAGTGCAGATTGAAGTTCAGGATGTTGGGGAGTGGCATGGTGTGAGACATTCGTGGTGAACACACTCAAGAATTCAGTCCACAATGCTGGCGCCTTTGATCAGTTTGATGTCTGCTAGTGGAGCTTATGGAGACGCGTTCCAAGCTTTGGCACTCGGAATGTCGCCTCTTTCGCTGAGCAGCGACGACACAAGGTGACGAGCATCGGGTGAGGGTTGGAGGCGAGGCTTTGGCATTTGAGGGCAGCTTTAAAGGAGCTGTTGGAGCGTCTGGGCTTCGGACATGTGGGGGACGGTGAATAACCTCAATGAGGTCAATCACCTTTCGAAACTTGTTGCTGAAGTAGCTTTTGTTACTCGTGTTTTCTGAATATGTAGAGACAATCGCGCCAGACAACGAGCAGCTCTCGGTCTACCGCTTGGTGCAATTGAGTGTCAAGCTATCTGAGGAATCTCATTATCTAATTGGTGACATGATGGTGGGAAGGAGAAACCCACAGTGTCTTGCGAAAAGCAGTCAAGGCCGTTCTGCTGCCTGAAATGCTCTCCAAGTCTCAGATTTGCAGTGATAGTTTTCTTTCCACGACAAGAACGCACGTTGTCTGCAACCTCAAGACATGATCTTCGGGCATCTTCAGCTGGCTGTCCAGCGAGGAGCCCAGAAAACTCAGTCACTTTCAAATGTATCAAGTTCCAAGCCTAAAAGCCGCAGAGACACACATGCCAATGAAGCAAGACATGCAGAGTCGCTGCAAGTGGGAGCCAACAAGCAGTACGTTTGACTCCATGAAGTACACATCAGTTGAACTCATCTTGGGACTTCTACAGCACATTTTTAAAGCATGGTAAACCCGGTGTGTGGCAGTGTCTTTGCATGGAAAACGCTGCGTGGCTTGTTGCTTGTTTAAGCACAAGCTCTGAAACTTGATCTCACAAAAGGCATCGGCACACTATGCACACTTCTGGCGCAACCCGACACTTTTCAAAAGCGTCATTTGATTTCATTTGTACGTCAGCTGGCACGCTTTGGCAGCATCGGCCACCTGAGGCAAAAGAACATCCAATGGCCTTGACTGGCTACTGTACATGTTGAGAGGCGGTGAGCTGCTTGAAGAAACTGCTGTAAGGCACGTCTCTATCCGAAAGGTACGAGTACTTTTGTGTGTATTGCATGAACGTTTCCTTGACATCCCTTGACAGTCTAGAGATGCGGGGATCCTTCACTTTTACTTTTACTTCGATGAACCCGCTCTCTCCATACTGTTGAAGCATGCAACTGTTGCCCAGAAGTGCCTCTTGACTAGAAGTTGGGATGATGAGCCGGCAAATATCCAATGGTTGTTCTCTCCGGC